CATTAGAAGACGTTTAATTTAATTTTTTCTTTCTAATTTAAACTAATATATAATAATTCTAATTTAAAGACATTAGAGGAGATTCATTATTAATTGCATGATTGAGGCACTACCAGCGTCATCTGTTCATTGGCTTTTCACAGTCTACCCTTAGCTCTCTTTTAACAAAACGAAGGTTCCTGAACTCTTCTATCATTTAGCTAGAGATGATTACCAACCGTTGCTTCTCAAGCTGATAAGTCGCTGATGCATCATTCGATTGTTCCCTGACGACACATTGCAGGCATAGCCTTGATAGAAATTCACAACATGTAGTAGTGGCATCATCTTGCCCATCAGTAGACATTATTGTTATTGTTGTTGCGATCATCACCTTGAACCGCATGCAGGAGTCGAACGTCCATGGTTTGTGATGTTCCATGCTTTTCGCAGCTTTAAAGCACTTCGCTGTAAGGCACTGACCACTGCGTCGTAGAAGGAAATATTATTCCCTGAAAGCAGATCTGTATCTTCCTTATTACTCCAGGTTGTATGCTTGCCTCCAAGTCGACGTCTACTGTTTTCCGGATCGCACGATAATCTTGGGCTGAAGTAAATGGGTTATGCTCAACCAATTTTTCTGCAGATTCACCCTCCTTTTCATAATCGCCATATCATTCCTTTCGTGGTCCTGCCATTTAGCCCTGATTATGCGTCGAAGCCAGCGTTGCTGTATGCAACTAATCTGCTGTTGTTTTCCATTCTTTAGAGCAAATATGTTCATGCCGTACTACAATAATGACCAGACATTGACAGATTGCAGGCAGATTTCTGTGGTAAAGGGTTCTTTTTTCTTAGCCCATAAATGATCAAACTTCAGATGTGCGTCACCTTTCTTTTCCTCTACGGATGGCTCCTTCATAACTAAATTTCTGAGCCTTATAGAACAGACTGGCTGTCGCAGCTGTATTGCAAACGGAAGCTTTCGCATGGCAACCCGCTCTACCTACTGCTCCCCAGGGAATATCATCTGCATACTCTAGGTCAATCAGATATATAGCCATATATCTTGAATTACGTCTACCCTTTGTGATAAAACCTTCCTATTTTCAGGTTGACCATTGTTTCAGAAAGGAAAGTCGAAAACAGTCTCGAATGGCAAAGACGAAAGCACATTTTTCTGGCGTGTTCCATTCGAATTTTTGTTTTTATATGCATTTTATTGCTTGTCAGATAGTCTGCTCTTTTTCTCATTTAAAACCGCTTCGTGATCCTTAAGTTTTCGCTGATGAGCATATTTAAATTAGGTGCATCATCACTTCTCGAGTTTGTTTGGACAATGCCTTAGAGGGCCAATTTTTTTTCTGTAGTCGCTAAATTGCGAGAGATGCCCGAAGTACTGCAGGTTTCTCCCTGCTGGTTGTTAGTAGTGGTTTCAATGTTGTCATGCACCTATTAGACACTCTTCTCGCACTGTTTTTAGTCGTAGCTTTAACATTTATGCCCATTGCCTCCGATATCGCGTCCAGGTTAGCTTTTGATCCGATCTTTGGATCCAGGTCACTTGCCTTCAGAATGCCGGATTCACATTCGAGGCATTATGAACTCCGATCCACTCGGGTCATTCGCCTTCCGTCCTTTTCAGGAAACAAATAATTACACGCTATACTGGTCACGTATATATATGGTCGTAGATGCAGCTTTAGAAAAAGAGCAACAGCGTGCCTTTCCTTGCCGACGATATGCAAACAGATTAGCGCCTCATCGTAAGCTTCCTGAAAGAAAAGTGCCTAAAACGTCGCGTTGTCATGAAATTTTTAGGGAGATTAACATTGCCAAGAGAGATTGGTTACCAACTTTTCTTTTTGCATCTTTGTCAGCACCGGCGTTACTGTTCAAGTTTAGTCTAATATCAACTGAGGATCTTCCTTCGCGTCTTAAGCATCCTAAGAATTTAAATCCTTGTACATGTTCCCAGTCGTTCTTGTTCAAATATATTTGTTAACTGTCTTTCTCGTTGTTTTGCCTATTCCTCATCATTCTCACGATCTTTTCTGTTACTGTTTCCTTACCGAAGGCGTTGCCACTTGTTTTCAAACAGTATACCATATTTATGATTTTCTTGTCGATTTTTGCAAATAGACTAATGCGAACCGATGCTCGCTGATCACTTAGCCACCGACTCACCCAGATTCTTTAAACCATTAAAGTACATCTTTATTAATTTGCTCTTAAAAGACATCGAACGTTGTTAATGATAGTAAACCAACCATTTTGAAAGTACCTACGGCCATCTTGAGCGAGTTATTGAATGTTCTTGATATGATATTTTACCGCTCTCGAAATCAGTGTAGAACAGTTTTATCGCGAATGCGACGTTTCTACTTGATTTTCCAGATATCTTTAGCGAAAACTTTTTTAAATCCTACCGTATTTAGATGTACCAAACAGTCAGATCTTCTTGTGTCTGATCATTGACTGATCGCTGGAGTTCGCTCATCAGGTTTACAGGTGCTTTGTTGACCTAGACAAAGCCTATGAGCGGATCCCACGCAAAAAGCTATGGGCGTGCCTACAAACATACTGGGTCGATGGCCGGTTGTTAAGAGTCTTTCAGTCACAGTATATCACTGTATATTGATAGCAGGTGCTGCGTCAGAGTAAATGGCTTCAAGTCCAGACTATTCGTTGTTCCCACTGGTCTTACCAAAGGATTCGTCCTGGCCCCTCTCCTGTTTATGTTGTAGATGGATAGAATAGTCAGGTGCAGGCAGGACGGCGAGTGTATCAGTGTAGTAGATGTGGAGACAATAAGACTGCTGTTTGCAGACGACCTTGCTTTGTTGACATGTTCGAAAATTGATCTTTATCGTTCCCCAGAAAGGAATGCAAGCCGAGTGCGACGTGACCGGCATGCTTGTGAACGAGTTTAAAAGCAAAAGTCTAGCACTTTCTCGTTCTCCTGTACATTGCGCTCCGCCGCTAAACGGAAAACTGGTGGTGCATGTGTAGAAATTTACGAACGTCACAGTCGTGTTTACTAGTGATGGAAAATGGGGAGGAGGAGATTGATCGGTAAATTAGAATGGCCAGCGGGGTTCCGCGCGAAGTGTTCGGAGACAGTGTGGCTAAAACATGGCTCAGTTTGAAGACTGACTTCTCTACGTTCAAATCGATCTTCATCCCCATTCTCAGTTATGAGCATGAATCAGGCTATGGCTGAAAATCGTCGATCTCAGCTACAAGCGCCTGAAGTGGGCTTTCTGTGACTAATCCCTGGACTCATTTGGACATGGCCCGGAGTATAGAAGTCTGAAAGATCCTCGGTGTACGTCCCCTGCTTCTCCAGACTGAGAAGTCACAGCTGCGATATTTTGGACTC